GGGCGGGGGGTTCTGAGTAACGTACAGGTTGTCTTGTGTCATATTACACGGTCTTCGTTATACAGTTGTATGGATATGGATAATAGCAGATTCTGTACTTGGATCCTTGGTTGTCATAGTGATTGTAGCCGTCTGCTTATTTTGCGCATGGTTGCACAAAGCAATCCAGATTCGACCAATAAGATATGTTTGCAACCATAGATAATACAGCAATAGCCGGTTGATATGGATAACCACCTCATCTATGCCGCCACTATGCGTCAAATACAAGGCTTATCTTGTGACAGGAAAATTGCCTAAACCCCCTGCATACACAGGAGCATTGAAACCAGTAGCAATTGAAAGTCCACCGTCTGACACAGCAGCTACAGCTAGGGGAACAAGTTCAAATCCATTCCCTGTCGCAACGTTTACAGTTACGCCAGCACGTGCTGGTAATGCTCCCGCTTTTGACTCGGGTTGGCACTCCTTTGTTTCCGGAGAATGGACAGATGGAGGACCTGATACAGACAGATTCGTAACATTTCAATAGAATTAGATGACTTTGTGCAAACTATGTTACTTTCATTATAGAGAAATGTAACGTAAAGGAATCGATTCAGCGAACTCACACGTTCTACATGGACGCACTAATGTACCTCTGAGCTGAGAGGAAGTCTGTAACACTGTAACACTGAACAGGCATATGGAGTGCACTCATGATTATAATAAATATATAGTATTTAAATGAAAGTATTAAAGCCCAATGATTATGTTACTCTTTTATTCGTTTGTTTGTTAAAAAAGTAATGTATAATGATAGTTAATTACATTGGCAATGCAATTGTAATTTAATTAATTATATAACTAAAATCATGTAATGGTAATGCTACTTTTCCAATTAAATTATTTACATTACCAATGTAATGAACCCATGACTGGTATAGTTGTGGAAATGCACAACGTTAAACGATGTGCGGTTTGCGCACGATGTGTGCACGATGTTCGAACGATAAAACACTTGACGACTATTGCTTGCGCAAATGTGTGCGCACGATGGACAAACCTTATGCGATAACAATTATGGTCGGTATAAATTGTGGAATGGTTTAGTATATACGGTTTCGTGTTCAAACATTTAAACTTGATTTTTTAGTATGTTTCTATATTCTAGCTTCATTTATAGGTTAATCTCTCTGTCTATACTTTCTTAAATTTAGAAATGGCGATTTTGGTGTTTTTAAACGACCATAATCGACGCATGTAAAATTACAGCACAGTTCCGGATACAGGTTATAGCACAGCCACTGTGTACAGGTGAACCTAGACCGTAGTTTTCCTCATCTGGGACACTTATGTAACTCGTCGGGGGGTGTAAATCCAGATGGAGGGAAAACATAGGCTAAACCTAATGTAAATAACTAATACGAAAGGTCTAGTTGTGTTTTCATAACGGTCAAACGGTATCACATATCAGCTCTATGTGTCAGGCACAGGCCATGTAAAACACCAGTCACTCATCACATTGTTATTTACCTGTTCTTAGAGCCAAACCCATTCTTAACAGGCTAACAGTCACAGTAATACTGTGTAACACGTGTAGCGGAACTGGACTGGGTCGATCGTCGGCGACCAGATAGCTCAATTGGTAGAGTTCAGAGGGTCCCGAGTTCGAACCCCGGTCTGGCCGTGCATTTTTCCTCTACTGTTACATTTGGCGCCCAACGAAATATACCCATAGAAGGTGTTATAGGGTCTCTTGTGTCTTCGGGGTCGAATACTTTGTTAAAGGAGGGAGGAATGTAGCGGAACTGGTCTTGGTCGATCGTCGGCGACCAGATAGCTCAAATGGTAAAACATCCGTCTAGAGTTCGGAGGGTCCCGGGTTTGAACCCCGGTTTGGCCGTGCATCTTTCCTCTCCTGTTACACACGCATTGTGAAATTGTACATAATCTTAACTGTTATGATGCGGTAACTTACCTGTTTTTACTTACTATATTTACAATATTGTCGTTTATGTTGACTCTGTGGAATATTGTTTCTGAAAACCTTATCATACGATATCCTATATATCACACAACATGCGTAGGAGAGACACCTGGCTACTGGGACGCTGTTAAACACAACTACTATTCTGATTACATTCTGTTACATCCGATATCTTAGTGGACAGAACCTGTTAAATAGGATAAAACTCCATTTAATCTGTCTAACATAACACCCTTTTAACGCAACACACTGTCAATATCAAAACCTACTGATGAGATTGGGAGTGTGTCGGGATATCCTAATCTCTTCCTACGGAATAACATTATACAATTACGCTGAATTAGGCAAAATGTTGTTATTGTCAAGGGCTGGATTAGACAGTTTTCACTGTCACCACACTTAAATTAGAACATACCAAATTCACCTGGTTTATACACCTAGTCTTATGTAATATAGTGTGGTAACGAAGGCAAGTCTATATAACAACAGAGTTTGCTTGAAATGCACTTTAACAACAAATATTAATTATAACAATTCGAGGTTCTTAAATATCACTTAATCATAACCTAGTTCGTAGGTCGTCTCAAAGCGGTTCACACATTATTATCCGTGGTTATAAGGCCTTCGCAACCAGCCAATATCTTTCACAACTCCGTGGGGAGCATACACCAGGTGCTGCCATTTCGGCGCTCACAGCTAGCATTCAATATTTCTAGCACTGCCCAACCACGTATTCATTTACAGCTGAGTAAACAAGCGGAGTAAAGCATCTTGCTCAAAGATACAACACAGTGCCGTGACGTGATTCTAACCCGCAACCGTTCGGTTACGTGCCCGGCGTCCTACCACTATACTACCTTGCCCTATTATAACGTTGCATATTTTGAGTTACCTGTCAAACAAAGTACATGTTTTCCATACTCATAATAACATAACTAGTTCATACCTGTAACGCTTATTTCATAGTGAATTATTGAAGTATAAGTAATAAGATTTGTTTTGCCAATGTTATTTAATTAGCTAACAGCTCATATCATATTGTGTAACGCTCAATAGGTTAGCCATTGTTTAAAGGTATCATTATTCAATTGGGCGTCAACAATACCAACAAAACAATCGATGATAGATTGTCCAACATAGTTTTGAATAGTAGCCAAAATTGTATGTGTTAGAGGAACGTTATAATTCCCCTCTGTATAAAATCTTGACTGTGGAAGATCTGCTAAAGTTCAAGTTAGTTTATAGCTATAGGGTAAGTGAAATTACCATGATGATGAACTATATATCAGAAATAATTGTTAGGAAAAGAAACTAATTAACTGTTGATTATGAAAGAAGGCTTATTTTAACAATACTACCGTCCTACTGAAACTGTTGATTTTGTGTTCATATTTTATGGTAACTGTTACGTCAGCACTTCGTGATATAACCATCTTCCTTAATTTGTCTGTTAATTTGTCTGTTAATTTTGTTAATTTGTCTGTTAACTGAAACATGAAGCTTTAGTATTTATAATAAAACACGTTCACCTTATATATCAATATGTTATCAAGGTCGTTTATGATTATTTTGAGAAAATATTAAAACATGTTAAATAAATACACAAATTGTAGGTCTTTTTTCAGAGAACATACCATGGCTGTTTTGAAGTATTTGTTCGTGGTAATGGCAGGTATGTATCTCTTTATTCTAAACATGACATAGTGTAGGTTGTACTACACCCGACTCATTGAATACACCCGTTAGAAGTTTGTCAACATTTTAGGTTACCAACTAACAGGTAACACTTTGGACGTTATTCCATTGGAGAAACATGTTTTTTAGATAAGATATCTGAACTCGTCGTGGTTGATTATCATGTACATCTAGGTCTAATTAATTAAGATTCAAATTGAAAAAGACACCTGGGTAACCTCATGTATATACTTTTATAAAAGTATCTAACCCCCGTTAGATAAACATTTTAACCAAGCATCACTCGTTGGGGAACCTCTTCATATATAACCACACAATTTGTATAATATGCATTTATTGATTTGGTTAGAGAGGATACAAGGATCTAAAACAACATGATCTGTTTCTGACAACTGTACATGTTTATGGGATACCTTTGACGTCATTCAGCTTACATTTATGATAAAAATGAGACAAAATATCACAAGATGAACACCTTGCTTAAATATATTTTAAAAGATGTACTTATTGTTTTAAGATATATGAGGAAAAAATCTGAAAAGTATAGCAGCAATATTTTGTATCAGTTAATGTTTATAATTTCTGATTGGTGATTACACAAATTACACGAACTAAATATGTTATCCGTAAACAAAAACGGTAAAGAAATCAAACGTTCTTAGAAGAGGATTTGTCTCCCCTTTTAAAAGACATATATATATTACTTTCACTCTATATGGACTGTGGAAACTGGCAATGCATTGATAAATCACAGTATGATATTTTCATTGTAAAAATAACATAATATTAGTTGCGAAAACCAGTTTCCCTTCATCAAGTGTTTTTCAAAACTTATCGTATTTTGATGAAAAACATTATAATGCTTTTTCCCTAAATGATAAATATTTTGACAGTTATATTATTGCTTAAAACATGTATTCGTCATGTTTCTTTCTTTCAGGTCTGACCTGCCTTGAGTGCAAATATTTGAAAGCAACCAATACTCCGCAAACCATTGAAACTTACGGGTACAGCTTCTGGTTGCAGTATTCAAGGTAAAACAATCAACGTTAGAGTCTCGACAAACGCTCATCCGCGTGCAAAACTAAAATCTTCAGCAAACGCTGTATATTGGAAATGTTCGCCTCTCGACGGTATAATCCATTTTCGCGCAATATGAAACTCGTCCTTCTTACTTACTTTCTCCGAAATTATGTTGCTTTTAAATGTTCACTGCAATGATAAATTTGCGCTCATTACGGAGGGCGAAAAAAAAAATACAATTCAACTGTAGCGAAGATATCCCGGTATACAAAATGTTTGATTGTGTTTACATAGATCAGCACATTTTCAAAATTGATGTAAATCTATTTGGAATTTGTTTTGGTTTTTAATATGTGTTGTACCTGTCACTTTGTTATTTCATGTATAACCCTACATTACAGCAATATGTTTCAAAGCTGGAGCATTGAAACGGAAGATAGCTTGAACGTTGTCGAGGTCATGATAGATACGGATATTGAGACCTGCTGTGACAGTTTAGAACTATTTGATGGTAGGTATTTACTTACATCAATTAGTACAAATACGGAAAATATGTCGGGTATGAAAACAACTTTGATGAATTATTTAAAAAAAAAACACCTGCTAGAGTTTCGTGAAATACATTAGAGATTAAACAAACAAAAGGTAAACAGCTATAGCGTTGTGCTTGTTAAATAAATAAGTTGGACTAGACCGGGATTTGAACCCTGAACTTCAGATTGTGATACCCAGGCTCTAGCCGACAGAGCTACCTCGTCAGCGGAGGGGGCCTGGTCTAGCTCTGCTACAGTTATTAAAAAACGAAATTAAGGGGAGGTCACTGTACACACAAAGAAAACCAAGATTACCGTTGGACAGGGATCCTTAAGACAACAAGTGCATTGTTTAACAATTTCCATGAAACCAAGCTGCTATTTCAACGATATTTTATCGTTTGTATTTTCATATAATATATTCCAGGTCCTAACAGTGAAGCAGATTCTCTAGGAATATTTCGCGGAACCTATTCTGGGAATAAAGTTACAAGTTCTGGTCGGCAGATGTACGTGGTGTTCCGAAGTGACAGTTCAGTGCAGAGGAGAGGATTTCGACTCGCATATAAACAGGTGGATGAAAAGAAGGGTAAGTTTGAATTTTTTACTTATGTCAATACATTTCAAACCTTCATACTGATAAGACCACACAACGATTGATATATATATATATGTTTTAACTACCAGATACAAAACTCGTCTTTCTTCTATTGACATGAAAAAGGTCTTACCTTAATCAAAATCGTTTGTAAAAATATCAAAACGTATTAATAACCATTTCTCAGCACACAAATTGTGTAAAACAGATAATGACTATAAGGGTGGCTTTTAAAAGATTTTCAGATAATTCACTAAATATTTAAATATCATTACCATGTAAACCTGAGCAAAATTTCAGCTTGTTTATATCTCATTAAAAGCGTCCTGTTCATAATTTATTTGAAATCATACATAACTTTTCATCTTATTCCTTATTTTTTTTTTAGTTATCTGGATGATTGTTGGAATAGTTTTGGCAGTATTAATAACCATTTTGAGCGTTTGTCTGATCCTGTTCCTCTGTGGTGTGTGCAAGTCGAAGGACCAAGTGGCCTCCATCCGACCTAACTATGGACAGCATCAGCAGCCTGTCTGGATGATTCCTAGGCCACAGAATCACGTTCAGGTAGTTCCTGGGCAGTTTGTACCACCACCGACGTATCAGGACGTTACCTATCAGAATCAGCAGGCTATGGACATGCAGGACATGGACCGAGGAGTCCGGCCAGGAACAGCGGACATGGCAATGTCAAACGTATCACGTGACAACATAATGGTAAATTCACTACCACCAAGGCAGCATTACGAGAGAACATGAACGTTTGACTGGACGTCACTAGTGACCTGTGTTCGAACATTTGACTGGACATCACAACTGATCTGTGCTGTGACATTTTATTGGTCGTCACAACTGAATGTCACTTTAGTATTGTAATGATTTTGTTCTTTAATATATTTGCTAACATACATTTTGTTACTACCCTTTTTTGTTGTTCCCGCGTTTGAAATGTTGATGCTATTTTGATTTTCTTGTATGAAGATGTATGACTATGTCGTCAGATATTGTCACGCCACTGTGTTGTTATCAAAAGAAAATTTATTAAAATATATTTTTTTACATGCATGCGTTACCTTTGTTATATCTTTGTATAATGATGATTTAGGTTAAGGTTAAATTAGTATACCCGGTAATGAATTCTGATGTGATTTTGAAGCATTAAATGCCTAGAATATACCAGGATTTTTAGAAAAAGTCAGATACGATATTCATTTAACCCTATCAGCATATTAATATTACAATGAAATTATAAAGGTGTGGTATTGCTTTATATAAATGAATGTATAACCAGTATGATTTTCCGTCGTCTCGGGACAAATTCAAGCCTTACCAACACTCAAAATAAATATTGTCGTTAAGAATCGTACGGCAAATACTGGAATTCCTAAATGGATTTGATTTTCATATCAACTGATCAAGGAAGTATCGATACCGCATTATGTTCAGTTCGTAAAATTGGTTTTGAGAGACCATATAACCTCCCAGGAAGAGAACAATGTTATCGGCTATCGGACGTCACAGTACCTACTAAAATGTCAACTCATTTGGAACCTTTAACTTATATTTAAAAGTAAGTACAAGTTCAGGTGAATGGCGTTGTTCAAATAAATTGTATAATATGAACATTTAATTAAAAACATATAAGATAACGTAGGAGTCAATAAACAGAATTTAAGAACTAACTATGTGGGGGTAATTATCCTTTGATAATAAAGCTATGGTATGCTTTTCCTTTTATTTTTACTCTGTGGTATATTTTATCATTGTGGGGTGACGTAGTGGAAGATTCAGTCAGTTCAGTATTGTGAATATGTAATGTTCTATAAATATTGTATGTATATATTAATTTTGAACACTCGACTCTATGAAAAATGCAATTGTTGACTAAAACATATACACGTATACATAAACAAGGATACATTCCTTGTTGTCTCTTTCTAATTATCCATGCTTGAGTCACACCATTCATTACTAATGCTTGATTTGTTCTGATATGAGTACACAATTGTGTAAAATCTGAATATCATTGTTTGTTACATAAATTGACTACTGGAACACCATGACAGTGTACTCACCTTTTACTAAGGCGGTCGGTATTCCCCGATCGGAAGTGAAAAGATATGGACTCACCTGCCCGACCACGTAGGTTTTCTCTGGGTACTCTATTTCCTCCCACAGTATAACCCCCGCGCTACATGTAACATACGGGCTAACAATAGTGATAAATATGTCCAGCAGTGTTTGTAATATAAATTTGATTAATTGAACATCTTCATTTTTGAGGAGGCAGCGACGGTGTAATTATCATGGTTGCAATTAATGTCTCGGCTAGGCAATTCGCTGCCGAAAATATCAAGTTCATACCAAGTCGAAGAATTGTGTTCCATCGTATTTTGTGTTTCTTAGTAACGTATAGATTGTCTTGTGTCTTATTACACCATCGTCGTTTTACAGTTGCATGGATAGAAGCAGGTACCATACTTGGATCCTTGGTTGTCATAGTGATTGTAGAAATAGCCGTCTGCCTATGTTGCGCATGGTCGCACAAAGCGATCAAGATTCGACCAATAGGATATGTTTGCAATCATAGAGAACACTGCAACAATCGGTTGATATACATTTAGACAACCATCTAGCTACCAATGCCGCCACAATGCGTCACATACAAGAATCATCTTGTGACAGGATAATTGCCTAAACCCACTGCATACAAGTAACAGTGAAACCAGGAGCAAGTGAAAGACCTCCGTCCTTTACAGCTGGGAGAACAAGTTCAAACACGTTTTCTGTGGCAACGTTTACAGTTACACCAGCACGTGTTGGTAATGCGTCTGCTTTTGACTCAGATGGACACTCCTTTGCTACCGGAAAAGGGAGATTGACAGATGGAGGAGCTGATCCAGACGAATTCGTAACATTTCGATCTAATAAGATGGCACTGTAAGAACTATGTTACTTTTGTAACAAAAAAGAGTAACGTTAAATAATCGAACCAGCAAACTCATACGTTCTACATGAAAGTACACATGTATGTTTGAGCTGAGAGGAATTCCATGTAGTTGAGAATAGGAATGTGACGTTAATGTTATATTCAATACACGTTATTTACAATAACCACATTTTTTCATTATTTTCTAATTACTCATTACATAAAGAACAAGGTAAAAATTCCAGTGTTAACGCATATCAGTTTAGAGTCATCTCCATTATTAACCGATCGTGAGTAACCACGCAGCTTGACATAATTCTTAAACAGACAATCAAAATAGATGTAAGCATTAATCTTTGTTCTTATATCAGTACATGTAACTATATTTCTCCATACTCATTTCGTCATTACTGGTTAATACAGTATACTTATAACGATATGGTTGCATATGGTTGGCTTAAATGGTTGCTAAGGCAAGTCTTTATAATATCAAAATGTGTTTGAAATGAACTAAGCATAATTTCATTTACATGTTTCTGCAAAACAAAGTACATGATTTCCATACTCATATTGACATACTGGTTTAATTATTATCATATGGGTAAATAGGTTTGTTTTGCCGAATGGTTCAATTAGCAAACACATCATATCCTATAGTGTTACGTTCAATAGGTGAGCTATTGTTTAAAAGGTATGAATCATATTACCAAAACGATCAATGTTAAATTGCCCAACATGTTTTTGAAAAGTATCCAAATTTGATTTGTGTCACAGGAATATTATACTTCCTGTTTTGTATAAAACAAACTTACCTGGGGATGATCTGTTCATTTTCAAGTTAACCTGTAGCAATAAGGTAAGTAAAACAATCGTGATGGTAAACTATATAACATATATAATTGTTAGGAAAAACATTTAATTGTTGAATATGGAAGAAGGCTAATACATGTTTTAACAATATAACCGTTCTACTGATAGTGTTGACTTTGTGTTTATATTTTTTTATGGTAGCTGTTACGTCAAAACTTCCTGATAAAACCGTCAACCTGAATTTGTCTGTTAATTTAATTTGTACCTTAACTGAAAACATGAAATTTTATAATTTATAATAAAATACATTTACCTTATGCATGTATATCAATTTATAATTAAGGTAATTTATTATGTTTTTTGAGAAAGGTATAAAAAAAACTGGTATATAAATACATAAATTGTTTTTCTAATTACAGAGACGGTACCATGGCTGTTTTGAAGTATTTGTTCGTGGTAATGGCAGGTATGTAACTCTTTATTCTTAACCAGAAATCATTTTTATATCCTGGAAGAAAGGACAAAAAATAAAGAAAGCCATGGAAGAACGGTGTAAATAATATATATATATATAAATTCATATCATATTATATTATCTCCGAAAACCACTGTAGGTTGTACCACTCCCTACTCATTGAATAGACCCGTTAGAAGTTTATCAATATTTTCGGTTGCCCCCTAGTGGGTATCACTCTGGACTTTTGTCAATCTTCTAATTAAGACGTTAAATAACAATTTTATGCGACATCGTCTTCTATTGTGACGTCATAGTTCATAGACAGGAATAATGTATTCCTAAGGGAAATGTGGTTTTCTGGATATTTTGTCTGAACGCTGTGGGAGCAACAAGGTCCCAACATTCGTGCTGGTTGATTATCATGTATATCTAAGTCTTGTTAATTGATTTTCAAATTGGAAAAAGCACAAGGGAAACCTCGTGTCTTTTTGTACCATTATAACTTTATCTTTATACCAAACGTAAATAATCAGAGTTGGATAAATAGTATGACCCACCATCACTGGTTGGGGAACTTCTATATATATAACCACACAGTTTGGATAATGTGCAGTTATTGACTTGGTTAAAGAGGATACAAGGATCTAACATAACATGATCTGTTTTAACAAATGTTATATGGGATACTTTTGACGTCATTCAGCTTTCATGTATAATAAGAATGAGACAAAATATTACAAGATTGACAACCTTCCTTTGATACATTCTAAAAGCTACTTATTGTTTTAACAGATCAGCTGAAAATTTTAATTAAAGCTACAATATTTTTTTATCAAAGTACACTAACTAAATATGTAATCCATAAACTAAAACGGTAAGGGCATCAAACTATGATATTTTTTAGAATATTCCTGACGAAATGTCAAATGCTGAAGACTTTTTTCGAAATTCCAGGCGATAAAGGTCAAAGTGACGATTTAGTTGTGAATTTCCACTGTGTCTCCAGGAAAAGGGAAACTTTTAAAAGGGCAGTTTATACATAACTTCCACCTCCAATGGACTGTGGAAACTTGCAGTGTATTAATAGTCCACAGTGTGGGAGTTTCATTATAAATAACATCATACCAGTTGCGAATGCCAGTTTCCCTCTCCTAAGTGTTTTTCAAAACTATTTTATCTTGATGAAAACATTCAAATGCTTACACCCGAAATTCTTAATATTTTGACAGTTATGTTAGCGCTGAAAACATTTATCCATTCTTGTTATTTGCAGGTCTGACCTGCCTTGAGTGCACGAAACTGACAGCATCCAGTACTTCGCAAACCATTGAAACTTACGGGTACAGCTTTGGGTTTCATTATTCAAGGTAAACCAATCAACTATAGAGTCTCGAAAAACGCTTCCCCCCGCGTGTAAAACTGAAGTCTTCAGCAAACACTGTATATCGTAAACTTTCACCTGTCGACGGTAAATTCTATTTCATCCCAATAAGAACTTCGCCCTTCTCATCTGCTTTCTTTGGATATTATGTTGCCGGTAAATGTTCACTGAAATGAGAGCGAAAAAAGGTTACATTTCAACTGAAGCGAAAATTTCCAGGTTTACAGTATGTTTGTATTATGTACACAATCATCATTTAACGAATGAAAAGCTATTAGGAATTTATTTTGGTTGTTACTATGTGTTGTACCTGTCACTGTGTTTGTTTATATCTAATCCTTCATTACAGCAATATGTATGAAACCTGGAGCATTGAAACGGAAGATATCTCGGCGGTTGTCGAAGTCGAGATAGAGATGGATATCCAGACATGCT